AAGGTGAAAAAGACTCTATGATATTTGATTGTACTGAACGTTACGATCCTATTACTAAACAGTGGGCAGCTGTAGCATCTATGAACCATCCTCGCTGTGGACTTGGAGTCTGTGCTTGTTATGGTACCATCTATGCTTTTGGCAAGTCCTTTGACTCTACAAAATCCATTACCTCCTTAAGCTAGGGGCAGAGTTTCATTAGTGTTGTATACTGTAGAAAATAGGAATAACACCCAAATGTGTATGGTAGCAACTAACTGGTAGCTTCTCTGGTAAAGTATCCTTTTTTCTGTAAAAAAGTAAAGGACCCCTGACCATTAGGTCCAGTCATGGCCGACTCTGGGGTTGCAGGGCTCATCTCGTTTTATTGGCCGAGGGAGCCGGCGTACAGCTTCCGGGTCATGTGGCCAGCATGACTAAGCTGCTTCTGGTGAACCAGAGCAGTGCATGGTGAACCGGAGCGGTACCTATTTATCTACTTGCACTTTGACGTGCTTTCGAACTGCTAGGTTTTTCAGTAGCCAAACGCAAATGTTTTCCTTCAGTAAATTCTTGAAGATTCCAAAGCCTGGAATATTTGTTGGTGACGTAGCTGAGAGCTGCCTTGCCTACAACTTGCTTGCTGTCCTGTTGGAGTCTCCGGACAGTTTGCAGAGAAATTAAGCTGCAATCCTGTCCTCTGGCTTGCAGCAGTAGGGCTTGATGGGGTGGTGCAGCCAGTGCTACATCTATAGCCCTGGAAAGTAGAAATGCAGGGAAAAAAGCACTGAGGGGACAAGGGAAAATGTGCAAGAATAAATCTGGGTTCAGTGAAGATGCCTGGATTGGGCAAATTGTTATGTGATAGCAGCAGGGTTGGTTCAGGATCCAATGGATCCCATGCTGGCTCAGCCCCTTCCGCATTTGGGGGGGGTTCAACGCTAGCTGTTGCTAACAGAGATAGTGAGATAACTCATGCAGCAGAAGTTGCCCCCAGTTACTGTCACCACACAGAGGCAGCTTATGGTCCAAAATAGTTTACTGCTGCAGAAAATCAGGCTTCAGTAATACAGCCCCGGACAGCCTGTAGGCTTTGTAGATACAGATATGTACAAATAGAAAACATTTATGTTGCTCTAGCAATCTGGCCTTCCAGATGTTGGGTTCCAACTTCATCAGCCCTAGCCACCTTTACATTAGACAGCCTTTTTGGCTCAGCTGCCATTGTAGCTGCTTCAAGGAGATAGAAATATTAACAATGTTTTCTCTTCCTTGCCTTCAAACTTACTCTGGTTTTCAGGAGGCTGGGTTGGAGCAGAGATTGGCACCTCGATTGAACGTTTTGATCCTGAAGAGAATAGCTGGGAAGTGGTGGGCAGCATGGCTGTGCCGCGCTACAATTTTGGGTGCTGTGAAATGCAAGGTGAGTGGGCTTGGATACAGTCATACCTCGGGTTAAATATGCTTCAGGTTGACCTCTTTCAGGTTGAGCTCCGTGGTGACCCGGAAGTAACGGAACACGTTACTTCCAGGTTTCGCCGCACGCGCATGCGCAGTCAAAATGACGTCATGCGCATGCGTGGAAGCGGCAAATGCAAACGGGGATCCGGAACGGATCCTGTTCGTATCCAGAGGCACCACTGTATTTGAATAATTGTTGCTTATTGTTAATACTGTCACAGACTACCCTTGGGCTGGTTCGGCACTCCAACTTGTGGTAAACCTTGCAGCTAGATTGCGGATGGGGACAGACTATCGGCAGCATGTAACTCGAGTGCTCAAAAGCTTGCACTAGCTAGCCCATAGGCTATCAGGTCAGGTTCAGGGTTCTTGTATTAATTTACAAGGCCCTTAAATTGGTTCCAGGATACTTCAAGGCTTGTGGAGTGTTCTAGGGGCCAGGTAGAGAGACATGGAAGGCTGCTTGTGGTATACACACTTACCTCAAGTCCCATTTGAATTTAACTTACTTCTGAGTAGGCATGCATAGAATTGAGGTGAGCATTTGGAAAAATTGATAACCTAACAAGTGGTGTGCTATCTTGAGGGGCATTGAGCAGACTATGTGCAACAATTTTGTTGCATTGTGCAAAAGAGCTGATAGTTTAGAAAGCAACTTCAAACTGCAATCCACAACCCACTCATTCAAGAACAGTCCTAATAAGGAAGACCACTGAAATTCTTGGGAATTACTGGGCTGCAGATTACAGTCCAGTGCATGTTTTCTAGAAGTCCTTGAATACCAACAGTTCTGGTGTGGCATAGGTATAATAGAAATTCCTTGCATTTCCAGGTTTAATTTATATTGTTGGGGGCATCAGTAATGAAGGAATAGAACTGTGTTCTGTCGATGCCTATGATCCAATATCTAAGCGCTGGTCTGCACTCCCTGAAATGGGCACCAGAAGGGCATATCTGGGTGTGGCTGCTCTGAATGACTGTATCTATGCTATTGGAGGATTGAATGAGTCTGAAGATGCTCTTCCAAGTGTTGAGAAATACTCTTTTGAAGAGGTAGGTTTCAGTTCCCACAAATCAGATTCCAAGGTGTATTTGTTGTTTATGTTCGTTTGCAGTACTTTGTCTCATTGATAGGTACAAAGAAATGAAGTTGTTAGTAATGCATTCAACAGTCCCCCAATGCAGCTGAAGTCGTGTGTGTAAGGTTATGTTCAGATGCACATAGTTAAAGCAATGAACCTGATGTTGGCCTATACTTAGACTTCTCAACTGAATGACGTTCAGGAATATCCAGTTTTCCCTGTTTTCATAAGAAGCCAACTAGGTAGCGTATTAATTGACTGGTTCTTGTTGCAGCCATGAAGCCACTCACCTGTGCAAAGTGTCTAGAGCAATATTTTAAGTCTAAGAAAACCAGATTGCTTCTGGGGGTGGGGTGGGGGTGTTTAAATAGGTAAACATACTAAGCAGGGAGAGAGGGGGAAGTAGAGCTCCTCCCACAGCAGAAACTTTCACCTGCTGCTGGAGGTTCTTATGTCTATAGTAGGACCCTAAGGGTCCTACTTCCCAGGTGATAAGTAGGCTAGTAACTATAAAATCTCATGCCACTATGCCAAGTAGTAACTAATCGGGGTTACAGTCCTTCTGTTTTCCTGTTGTGACACCATGATACACTTGCTTTTGAATGTGCAAATATTCCTTTCCCGCCTCCCATCTCGTTTTTACTCAGAATTAATTTGAATATTTGCCACCCCCTGGCTCTGTACTTAGGCTCATTTGGAGGGAAGGATAGAAAAGAAATGCAACAGCAATAATAGTAAACAGTAGTAGTAAACCCATGGGTATAGGGCAGGCACCCCCAAACTCGGCCTTCCAGCTGTTTTGGGACTACAACTCCCATCATCCCTGACCACTGGTCCTGTTAGCCAGGGATGATGGGAGTTGTAGTCCCAAAACAGCTGGAAGGCAGAGTTTGGGGGTGCCTGGTATAGGGCAGTATATCAATAAATCATGACGATGAATTGGAATTCCACTACTAAGAATACAGTGAATGGTCAGTTTAACACAGACCTTCCTAGTGTTTATTTATACCTGCTAACTGTAGATTTAAAGTTACAGATAGGTAGCCGTGTTGGTCTGCCATAGTCAAAACAAAAAAAAAATCCTTCCAGTAGCACCTTAAAGACCAACTAAGTTAGTTCTTGGTATGAGCTTTCGTGTGCATGGTATCTGAAGAAGTGTGCATGCACACGAAAGCTCATACCAAGAACTAACTTAGTTGGTCTTTAAGGTGCTACTGGAAGGAATTTTTTTTGTGTAGATTTAAAGCACATCTCTGGAGAGGAACATACTACATAGAAAACATATTTTTTTAAATTTGTTTCATTCATTAGGAGAAATGGGTAGAAGTTGCTTCAATGAAGGTCCCAAGAGCTGGAGTATGTGTTGTAGCTGTGAATGGCCTCCTTTACGCCATTGGAGGAAGGACTGCCAGTTATGATTCATCTGCCCCAGTAACATCAGATTCTGTGGAAGTTTATAATCCGCATTTGGATACTTGGACTGAAATTGCTAACATGATCACCAGCCGCTGTGAGGGAGGTGTGGCGGTGCTTTGAAGAACAGAACACTTAAAAACAACTAAGATTGGGGAGCGGATTTTCAAATGTTCTCAGAATGGTGAGAGTTTGGGCTAGAGACTTCTGTTCACAGGCTCTACCGAAACTGTATGCTTCTCCATGTGGAACATAGACTTCATGGGTGATTCTGGCAGTTTGTTGATGGTTGATTGCTGCCCCTGACACTTGGAAAACCCTCTGCTGTTCGTCACATGCCAAGACACAATCAGAATGCAGTTGGACTTGCTGTATTTGAAGTGGAGAAGGTTGAAATTGTCCTAACCACATTACTTCTTAACGGGGATCCTAAGCAATAGTTTTATTCTCATGAAAATCCATTATATTATTTATTTATGAGCAGATGTTGGCTTTCCATAGCCTAAATTAGTTTCCTTGGAGAAATGCAACAAAATGATGGTGTTATTATTTACATACTTGTTTGGGACTTTTGTTTTAGCTGCTCATTGCCTTTAGGAATAAGTCAAACTTGCTTACAAAATGAAAGTAGTTTACATCTCACTCTTATTTATTTATTTATACATACATTCATATGCCACCTCTTTCCCTGATGGGACTCAAGACAGATAAGAATATTCCATTCCCTGGCTCATGTTGGGTATTAAGAATCTGCCCTTGGCTTTGGGCTTTTGTTCCACATATGCATACTTAGCTATGTAGGACTATTTAAGACAGGAGACAACTGGAATATTAAAAACCAAAACCAAATCTGTCTTCACATTTCATTACAGGCTGCCCCGTGTGACTTCCAAAGAATCCACATCATGCCCTGTGCTTCCATGGTAAAGCAAAGAGTTAAAAGTAATAAAAACAAGCACAATAAAGAAATTGGAGGGAAATGGCAGTAGCAAAATGATCTAACATCAGATGGTAGCCTACCAGTTCATTTGTTATATCATAAATGCCTTTTCCATCTTTGTAGCACCATACCCCATACACAGTTACATCGGTGGAGAAGCATCACTATTTATGGCTCAGTACTATTACCATGTCAGTGGAAAAGAGTTCCCTGCCTTATGACGCACAGCTCCTTTGCATCTGCAAGGGAGGCACTGGATGTGCTGGACCGATGTCTTGCCCCAGTAATGCACTGGATGACAGACAACAAACTGAAGCTCAATCCAAAGAAGACTGAGGCAACTTAGACCAAATGGCTGAGAGGATGGGGTTACACTCCCTCTGAAGGAGCAGGTACATAGCTTGCAGGTACTCCTGGATCCTTTGCTATTGCTTGAGGCTCAAGAGGCCTTGATGGCACAGAGTGCCTTCCATCAGCTTTGGCTGGTGGCTCAGCTGCACCCCTATCTGCGCCCCTGACTTCTGTTGTCTATACTTTGGTAACCTCTATGTTAGATTACTGCAATGCCTGATACATAGGGCTGCCTCTGAAGACGGTTTGGAAGCTTCAGCTGGTGCAGAATTTGGCGGCCAGGCGGCCACTGGGGTATATTACACAGATCCTAGCCCAACTGCTTTGGCTGTCTATTAGCTTCTGGTCCCAATTCAGAGTGCTGGTTTTGACCTATAAAGCCTTAAACAGCTCAGGACCACAAAATACATGAAGGACTGCTTCCCATATACAGTGGAACCTCTATTTGCGACCATAATCTGTTCCGGAGGTCCATCCAGAGGTTGAAACAGGTTGCTGGGAGAGGTGCCGTTGTGCGCAGGCGATTGCCCACTTCTGCGCATGTGCAAATGGCGATTGTCGCTCCTGCGCATGCACAAACAGCAGCAAACCCACTGGTTGGTTCCAGGTTTGCCACGGTCGCGACTTGGAACGACCGTAAGAGGCAGTGGTAAGTAGAGGTTCGACTGTACTGTCCCAGACTCCGCATTCATCTGAGGCCTTTCTCCATGTGCCTCCACATGGGGTTCGGAGGGTGGCAACACAAGAACAGGCCTTTTCTGCAGTAGCTTCCCATTTGTAGAATGCTCTCCTTACAGAGCTTCACCTGGAACCTTCATCTTTAGACACCAGACAAAACTTAACTCTTCAACCAGGCTTTCGGTTGATTAATATTCTATAGCCTTTTAAATGTGTTTGTGGGGAGGAAGGATTGTTTTGTTGTTTTTGTTTTAAATATTTACATCCATTTTTACCTTGTATTTTATCCTGTAAACTGCCCTGAGATATTATGATGAAGGGCGGCATATAAATCTAATAAATAAACAAATAAATAAAATACATGCAGGTCCCGCTATTGGAACACTAATTATCCAAAATTTCATTTATCAAAACCCAAAGAACTATACCAAAACCTTGTTATATAAACAGCTAATTCAGATATCCAAAAAGCCATTGTTTGTCTACTTCCCTACCTATTTCTAAGGACAAATTGGAGCAGGAGAAATCAGACAAATCATTTTTTTCTTTTTTTTTACTTTTGCTGGCTGGCTACAGCAGTTTGGGGCAAAAACCAGGGAGGGAGTTTGGACAAATCACAGATTAGAAACGTTCCTGTAGGAAATAATAAATAAGCTTGTTATGCAAATGCTCGCCTAACAATTTCCTGCGAATGCACTGTGTTGGAAAGCAGGACTTGTGTGTACTTTTATCACAGTCTAACCATCCTTAACTAGAAGTCCCATTTATGTAGTACTAAATATGGGGAGCTTCCAGACTGGCTGTTTACTGAACATCCATCCCAAAACATTTGCACAGAGGTTGAACACTTACTACCAGCTAGTGGTTGCTATTGCAGGCTTCCACGTTAGCAGCCCACTGATCAGGATTTAGCAGAAAGCAAGTTCCATTAAAACAAGAGATTTACTGCCATTTAACAACTGTAGTATTAATTAAATAGCATAATTGTCTATGGCTAGTAATAATTCACCCACAGCAGTTTTTAAAAATTGTGAAAGAGGAAAATATTTTACTCACTAAGAATTAGCCTATATAGAGAAACAGCAGCATACAACTTCTAGCTTAAAAAGCAATGGATGGATGGCAGTTGAACAGCCTGTGGAAAAAGCAATGCAGTTAGTACACCTTCTAGCTGAGCTCCTAGAAGTATTTAAAACCACAAAAATTTGATGGCTATTGAAGTTTCTCAGTGAAACTGGACATTTGTAGTGTTCTTTCAATATTCAGTGTGTATCAGAACATTCCACATTATCAAGAAGTCTCCACAAGTCTTCTCTCTGGTATAACATTCAAAGAAGTAATTTTCTTGTACAGGGAGAGAGATGTGCTCCACAGCAGTGGCTCAGCCACCTAACCATGGAAGAAGATGCCCTAACTCATCTTTGCGCATTAGAGCAGAAACATTACACACCTCTACTAAATTGTAACAAGCAAATTCATCTTAGGTCTTCAGTATCCACCCTTCCATGGAGCTTGTTCTTCTTTCAGTCCATAAATTCAGCCATAAGTTCATAAGCAGAGAAGACAACCAACTTTTGCTCATCCCCTCACAATAGTCTTCAGAGGGGAAAACATGTAAAACAGAATATGAAAATGGTTAAGGAGAGAGGTCCCCTCTCACTGGACAGGCCAATGCATTTTTGGTTGTTTATTTCAATACTTTCGTTTCACTTGCATCACGACTTAGTCGTTTCTCTGGATACATGTTTGCAAGACATAGTGTGGTAATCAGAGAAACTGTGGCTACTATAGTCAGGACTGCCCTCATGGCTTTAAACCATCTGGGATAGGTGGGAAGAAGACTAAGATCATAATGCAAGGCTATCCCTAACCCTATTATAAGCATGAGTCCAGCTTGAGTGAGGTCATCTTTGAAAAGCAAAGTAAACCAGGCAAGCAGTGAAGGAACAACACTGTTAGCCAGATTAATCCAATCAGGACTGGCAGGACTGCCTTCTGGCAAAGCAAATCCCCATCTGATCCCTCCTAGGAAAGATAGTATAGATGCACCATATGCAATCTGAGCAAACACCAACTCTGGGTAGGATACCTTCTGGATAGCCATTAACAATGGCACTGAAACAAAGGGAATTAATCCTGCAATGCCCAAATACAGAGCAGGCTTTGGAGAGTCCTTGAGGGAGGGCATGTCATATCGCAACAAATCCAGTTGTCGCGGCTCAGGTTCCGGAGGTTGTTTCTTCTTCCAGCTGCAGCAGGAAGAATGGAAACCCTGTGCCTTGGTTATGCTGGCAGATGCCTGCCTAAGCAGCTGTGATTTTGGCAGCACAGCCAAAGGGACAGGAGAGCCAACTGCCTTACTCCTTCCAGGTTGCAGAAGTCTTTGAAGATACATCATCTGCAATTACAAATGCAAAAACACTTCACATCACTCAGCCTTCTGGTAGCTTAAAGAACCAACTGCAATACTTGTTTCCTGCTTGGCAGGGGGTTGGACTCGATGGCCCTTGTGGTCTCTTCCAACTCTATGATTCTATGATTCATACTTTTCAGAAGGACGCTTCATGCATCTAATAAAGTGGACCATAGTCCATAAATGCTTATATCATTAAAATGTATTAGTCTTTAAGGTGCCATTTTCATTGTTTTTGCTTCAGTTCTTAATTGGGGCCTCTGCCACAGCTAAGTGTTAGCAATGAACAGTGATTTATATTTCCATTTTTTATGAATTTGTCCAAGGGAGTAGGGTTCCCCACCACCACATGCATATTGGGAGGGATTCAACTAAGTTTTACTCAGAACAGATCCATTTAAAGTAATTGACTTAATCATGTTCATTAGTTTCAGTGGGTCTACTCTAAGTAAAACTTAGCTGAACACTACCCATTATCTCTAGTTACCGTATTTTTCGCTCTATAACACGCACCTGACCATAACACGCACATCGTTTTTAGAGGAGGAAAACAAGGGAAAAAACATTCTGAATGAAACAGTGGATGTATCATTTTTGTGCTTCATGCTGTGGCCACAGACATGTGATCTGATGGTGAATTTGGGGTGACCCAATGCAAAAATCCTGAGAATTCCCTGTGGATCCATGCTTTGTAACCACGTTTTTGCACCATTGCAGCCCCAGGCAACAGTGGGTGCGTGCTTTTTTGGTGCAGGCTGTAGCCATGGACATGCTATGTGATCTGATGGTGAATTTGGGGTGACCCAATGCAAAGATCCTGAGAATCCCTGTGGATCCATGCTTTGTAACCGCATTTTTGCACCATTGCAGCCCCAGGCAACAGTGGGTGCGTGCTTTTTTTGGTGCAGGCTGTAGCCATGGACATGCTATGTGATCTGATGGTGAATTTGGGGTGACCCAATGCAAAGATCCTGAGATCCCTGTGGATCCATGCTTTGTAACCGCATTTTTGCACCATTGTAGCCCCAGGCAACAGTGGGTGCGTGCTTTTTTGGTGCAGGCTGTAGCCATGGACATGCTATGTGATCTGATGGTGAATTTGGGGTGACCCAATGCAAAGATCCTGAGGATCCATGTTGATCTATGCTTTGTAACCACATTTTAAGTGGGGAGCGAAGGAAAAACAAAGAAGGGACATGAGAGGGGTGTGCAGAGAAGCAGCTGGCTAAGAATGCTGCAGAGGGATTTAACGGGTGGGAGGAAAGAAAGGCAAAAGTTCCCCCCCAAGCCAGCCATCTCTCTCTCTCTCTCTCCCCCCCCCTCTCTCCCTCTCCCTCCCCCCCTCTCCCTCCCCCACTCTCTCTCCCTCTCCCTCAGCAGCACCGGAGCACAGAGAGGAATTAGAAAGAACGACACTCTGCTTGCCTGGAGGGGAGGGACTTTCCCTGCTCTTTGTTCCGTTTCAGCAATCACAGCAACGAAACAGAGAAGGGTGGGCAGTAAGACCCTGAGGCAGAATGCAGGAAAGCAACCACTTCCTCTTTTCAGGTTTCCCTTCTCCGTGACTCGCGATTTGACTTTTGCTTGATTTTTTGGCTTCAGGGACCACACATTCGCTCTATAACACGCACAGACATTTCCCCTTCCTTTTTAGGAGAAAAAATCTGCGTGTTATAGAGGGGAAAATATGGTAAATCCCACCAACATATTTATTTCCACAGACATATATTAAGGTAGCCTTCTTTCACTTCAGTGAGCAATGAGTGTTTCAATATATAGACAGGTCTTAAAAGCAAATGAAGATGCAACTGTTTTGGAGACATTTACCTTGGAAGGAACTTGGAAACAACATCGCTGTAGAAGGTGAAACATTTTCAGAGATTCTGAAAGATAGGGATGGTTAGCAAAATATGCTCTTGCATTACCTCACCTGGAGTATAATACATAATAATAATAAATTTTATTTATACCCTGCCCTCCCCGGCCAGAGCTGGGCTCAGGGTGGCTAAAACCAATAAAACCACAGTAAAAACATAATAGGGGGAAAAGAGAGGGGGGAGGAAAAGGAGGGGGGAAACCAATTTAAAATACAGTTTAAAATGCAATTTAAAATGTAGCCTCATTTTAAAGTAGCTGATACATGGATAAGGGTGCAATCCACCACATTGTTGTGGCATGCTATGCTGATTCAATTTTCATCCAGCACTGGAACTAGTGGATTAAATTCAGAATATCCCAGAGACATTTGGGAGGTCAAGTCCCAGACAGTCCAGCAGTCAAAGCTGCTGTTTGAGGTGTGAACATATGAAATCATTTCCAGCCATACCAAGCCAGTAATGGGAACCACATGGTACTGTGGGCTTGCAAGCCCTGCAGCAGTTGCACTATCTTTCCTCCCCAGTTATGTTTGGGATTTGATGGACCTTGGTTGTGTATGTTGGTGGATGATGTCAGCAACAGTGGATAACGCCACAGACCTATTAAAACAAGATTAAAGTGGCACAGAAGCTAACACAAGCTTGTATCCAGTGCAGTGCTGAGTGAACATCCCATCAGTGTGAATGGAAATCTCTCTCCCTTTCCTTCCCCTGCATCTGCCTCAACCTTGCCCAAATCTGCCCTGAAGGGTTTGGGAAACCCCAGAACAAATGAAGGGGCATGCAGGGGGAATCCCATTGTACAAGCAGGAATCTTGCGCTGATGTGCTGCTTGCTTAGTGCTGCACTGGATATAAGTCAGACAAGCAACGACATTCAAAACAAAACAGATAATATACGATATAGTTGCACGTGCCCATTTCCCTCCCACCCAAGTTGCTCAAAGGTAAAGGCAATGCCGGAGGCAATACAAAGTTATTGCAACCTCTCATTAGTTAATACAACCCTGTAAAGAGAAGGCTCAGATTTTAAACACGTGTAACAAAGCCAAGTTTCTTAAAAGCCATTGTAGAATTTTAAGCCTGTGAACAAATCACTCTCCCTCCTTTCTCTAAGCATCCGGCCCCGCCAATACTTTGCTTTTCCGCGAGTTTCTCCCACGTCCCGCGCCTGTCACAAACCCATAGAGCCTCACCCTTTAGTAGCAGGGGGAAATCGAGGGCGTTGCAAGGGGCTCCCGGTGGGCACTTTGGGCTGTAGTATCAACCTAGTTGCTCATTAACTTTCACCTCTAAGCGGCAGACACAGTAAACGCGACTCGCAGCCTTTGTAGATTCTTACAGAAAGCTTTCCCACAATCCAAAACCTTTGGATTTGTTTTGTTTCGTTACAAAAACGTGCTTGGTCAAATTGTCCCGGGTGCGGAAACTGACTCTGCCTTCCCAGCGCAATTCGCGTTTTCCTAGCTTTGCTCCAAAATCAGCCACTCTTCACAGTAACCTAAACTCAATCCACACTCCGCCTGGGGAAGGGGCGTTTCCTGTCCCCTGCTTTAATTCCGCCGGGTGCGCGTGCGTCGCGCTTAGTCTCTCGGCTTGGAACAGAGGCGAGACTCCCGCCCTTGCGTACTAAAAGAAACAACGCACGAGCGGATCCTCCTCCTCGCGTTTAATGGCGTTGCAAGGCCAAAATGAAAGGCCCTATTGCCGCCATCTACAGGCAACAACATTATTGTACTTTCCTACACTTTCCCATAAATCCTCGTACAGTACTAGCTAGATCAGGGGTCAGCAAACTTTTTCAGCAGGGGGCTGGTCCACTGTCCCTCAGACCTTGTGGAGGGCCGGACTATATTTTGGGGGAAAATATATGACTGAATTCCTATGCCCCACAAATAACCCAGAGATGCATTTTAAATAAAAGCACACATTCTACTCATGTAAAAACACCAGGCAGACCCCAAAAATTACCCAGAGATGCATTTTAAATAAAAGGACACATTCTACTCATGTAAAAACACGCTGATTCCCGGATCGTCCGCAGGCCGGATTTAGAAGACGATTGGGCCGGATTCGGCCCTCCGGCCTTAGTTTGCCTACCCATGAGCTAGATCCCAACTCAACTTCTCCATAAGAAAAATAATCCACATCCAACTACATCTCTACAGTCCTCAAAATAACCATCCTTTCACCAGAGTTCCCACAGTTATAAGCATAACTACTCCCTCTAGCTTTCAAAGAAACATAAATAATCCCTACAAGGGCAAGTTCCATTTACACAAACTATACCAGACACCTGCACATTCCTGGCCATGAGCCAGTAAACTGAACATTCCAACTCCTTATCTCAAGGCCAAACTTGTTATGTCTTGGAGCACCTCAAAACCTGACAAGATGAAGATCCAGTCTTCCCTTCTTAATTTAACTGGCACCTCCATCTGCTCAAGGCATGTCTTCCCTGAGAATTGCAATGTACTTGGGCAGAACTTTGCAAACATTTTGGGAATGGAAAGTGGCAGATTGCTCCTATGTAGAAGTCTTTGGTGGCACTCCCTGACTCTGCTTAGGACTGGGTTCCAAATATTTGAGGTTAACATAAGGTTACAATATGTCCCCGTTTCTCAGGGACAGTCCCCGGATTTGAAGTTGAAAAGTATCCCCAGATTCATTGAAAAAATCTGTTAACCTTAGGTTAACACATAGAACAAATAGAATTTAAGGACACATATAAAAGGTAGGGGACACGGGTGGCGCTGTGGGTTAAACCACAGAGCCTAGGACTTGCCAATCAGAAGGTCGGTGGTTCGAATCCCCGCGACGGGGTGAGCTCCCGTTGCTCAGTCCCTGCTCCTGCCAACCTAGCAGTTCGAAAGCACGTCAAAGTACAAGTGGATAAATAGGGACCGCTCCGGTGGGAAGGTAAACGGCGTTTCCGTGCGCTGCTCTGGTTCACCAGAAGCGGCTTAGTCATGTTGGTCACATGACCCGGAAGCTGTCGGCGGACAAATGCCGGCTCCCTCGGCCTATAGCACGCAACCCCAGAGTCGGTCACGACTGGACCTAATGGTCAGAGGTCCCTTTACCTTTACCTTTATAAAAGGTAGGTCTGAAAAATATTCCCAGGGAATCCTCCATTCAGTAGGTGGCAATCGCACAGTCTTTTCACAGCTGTAAGAACTGCAGCCTGTTACTCAAAGATAAATACTAATCTGATCTGCTTACACAGACATGAGTCTATGCATGCTCCAGTTACACCGAGGAGCTAAAAATTCAAAATACTCTTTAACTACTGTCTCCTATAAGTCAGAGCAGGTGGTCATTAAGCCAATGGGAAGGAAGGCATTCCAGAAGTTAACCCCAAGTGATGCTCAGGCATAGCTGGTGTTATTAAACTGACTATAAATGGTGACCACAGTACCCTTGTGAGTTGAGGCTGGTGATGGTAGGCTGTATGCCTGAGTCCCTTCCAATTTCTGGAAATGTTTTAGATAAGGGGACTAGAAATAGGCAGAAGGCTGAGAGGTAAGAGTCACACTGATTTAATTTTTCATTACCTACAGCCAGTGCTTTTTTTAAAAAAAATGTTTAGGGGTGCTCTCATTTGGACTCAATAAAATTACCATTCTATAGTTCAAATCGGGGGAAAATAAATACAGTAAATGGACAAAAGTACAAAGATTCACAAAATGTTTGGGGGTATATGTACCCCTTCGTTTCCTCCCCCAGAAAAAAAGCACTGCCCACAGTACACAGCACACATGTGCACAGCATACACACTTATCCCCCACCCCCTGCAAATACCGGTAGGCTATTAAAAAGGCAGTCAGTGGTAATGAGGTGGCCTGACAGGGAGGTCCCAGAGCCTGCGAATAGGCTTGTGGTTACCCAACCTTGGTCAAGGAGGTCAAATATTTACAGAACATACTCAAAGCCACAATAATAGAAGATCAGCTAAAATTTGTACCACAGATTATCGGTAGTTTCCCACTGACATCTGGTTAGCCAGTGTGGGAAAATATTGCTGGATTAGATTGGCCTTGAGTCTCAACCTGAACAGCTCTTCTTACGTACCTACTTGATATTTTTACACACAAGTTGTTATGTATCAATTCATATACACTGTATATACCATAAATAAGATACAGTAGATATCAAAATGATATTAATTAAGTTATATATCATTTTTGCTATGCTAATTCTCTGGTTTGCTCTTCATGCTGAGTCTTGTTGCTGCTGTCTCATCCTGCCTTGCAATGAATAAGGAAGTGTGAAAGAGAGGAAGGGAGATTCAGCATTTGAAGGGAACAGTTACATTATACAGCTATTTCTGTCCATGAAAGATACCTTTGAGTGCTGAAAGTACTGTAGAAAGTGCTGAACATTTTTTGGGGGGCAGGGGCAACATTATATTAACTTCTACACATAAATCCATGTTTCACAGCATATCTCACATTACACTCTTTCTAGCTTCAGTTGATCTTTATGGTTTGTGACTGTATGTATAATAATATTTGTATTAATCAGGCAGCCATAATATATTAGTTCTTTCCCCCATTAATTTCTCCTTTACTTTCAGTAACCTAATTTTCCCACCCCATGTTTCATAGCTTTATGGATTGTACACCACTGAAATTAATTAGCTCTGCACAACACACCAGGAATCAGAATAACAGGGAGAAATGTACAGGAGTAACCAAAGAGCTAGCATCTTTTGCCTGTCTCTATGGCAAAAGAAAGCCAACCGCATGTAGTCAGCATTGTGTCAACATAAAGGAGTATAAAGCACCGGATCTGGCAGCTGCTGCTGTTTTTGCAATTTCGGTTTTCTGCATTTGCAAACAAAGATTAGGCAAAGTTTATCTGTCTTTTTTTCTTTCCTCGTTCAAAATTATTTGCTGTTATGCTATTTATTCTAATCCTAAATCTGTTTTGGAGGGCACGACTGGTTTGTCTCTTTTACTTCTTGATAGCTATTGTCATGTAAGGTTTACATGACAATACCTAATTATTTACTCTATAGAGTTGACCCACTTTAATCAGTGAGAGCATGGTGGAATCAGAAGACTGCAGCCTTTCTGGAGTCTGTCACTGCAAATTAGTTTGCTTGGCCCAGTTACCTAGATTTTGCTGTAGAAGAATGCATAAATTGCTTTGGCTACATTTCTTTAGGCCTGGTTTATGCACACGAACGTAAAAGTCTGGTTAGATAAAGTTGCTAATGAATTCCTGAGAATTATTAAAATTTAAGTAGCCTGTGGTGGGGCTGTTTGCACCACTGGGCTCGCGGTCGCTGATAAAGAGAAAACTACAGACATACAAATGTTTCGGAAAGCTTTTTCTTTTCATTCCTATCAGCAATATTAGGCAGGCCTGCGCGTTTCTCGGTGGCGGAAAGCCTGCTTGTTCCACCGGCTTAAATTCTTTGGGAGAATAAATGAGTGCCTGGCGCTTTAAGAATGAAGAGACTTCAGAGCCATGGCTGGGGATAAGGGCGAACGAGGAAGAAGTGAAGTCCATAATATATTCGGGTAGCAGGACGTTAGCGTGCGGGGAAAGCGCACAGCATCACGGAAGTAGCTGTGAAAGGCTGGTTTGCCTGCAGCCTCCGATAACACAACCAGGAGGATACACGCTCACGCATGCGCAGAGCAGAAATGGAAGGCGCGCGAGAGCCCTGAGCAGCCTCTTTGGTGGGCGGCACGCGAAAGACTACTTCGCCTGGCTCGGACGAGCCAGAGCACGAGCGGCGGAAAGCGAGTGCGCGTGCGCCCCGGTCTTTTGGCACGGGCTGGGCCCAGGTGGGTGTGTTTCCCCCTCTCCCCCCCCTCTTCGCACGCGTGAGTAGCCCCGCCCCCTCCGGCCCCCGGCCGGGCTGGGCCGGGCAGCCATTTTGGGCAGAGCTTTGTTATGGTTCGGTGTGGGGAACTCAAGCGACACAGAGAGTGAGACGGGAGGGGGCGAGTGGGGCCTGGTCCCATAAGCACGGCCTTGTGTGGAGAGAAGGGAAGAGGAGCTGGACTTGAGGCGGCGCTGAGCGGCAGCCAGCGGCCTTTGGGGAGAGAGTAAGGTAGGGAGCGGGCAGGGGGAAGCCCAGAGCAGGCGAGGGGGCGGGAGCATAAACAAGTGGAGGTTCTGTTGCAGGAAAGAGCCGAGGGGGCGGCGGAGGCCCTGCGGGGTCGCTTGGCGGCCGGGAGAGTTGCTCGGGGCAGTTGTTGGTTTGCGGAAGCGCTCGGGACAAGGGGCATCGCGGAGAGGTGCTTGGCAAGGATTGGGGGGGCAGGGAGGCGGCGATAGCTAAGAAGAGGGTAATGGGGGGACCTGTTTGGAGGTGTCTGCGCGGGCAATGTGGGGGGCAGGGGTGGAGACTGGAGGTGTGCGAGGAAGGATCAGCTGGAGTAAAGAGTGAATAGCGGAAGGAGGAGGCTACGGTAGGCCTCTGGAGTGCAAAGTTGAGCAGGAGGTGCGGAGTGGCCAGGGCAGGCAGTCGGTGGCATGTGCTTTTCAGGGCAGGTGGGAGAGGGTTTTTTGTTTTGTTATTTGTTGGCATGGGGGTGAAATGGATTTGGGGTTCCAGCGTGCGTATAGGAAGGGA